GTACAGTAAGGCACAACAATTGATGTAATCTACTGTAATTTGGTGAGTAGGCCTACCTTTAATATATAGTATTAGTGCGGTGTGTATTGTCAGTGAAAAGCGCTGTAATATGTCTCTGATATTACACATTTGGGCAATTCCACATTAATGTTACGTTAGTCTGTACTTAACTACATATTTCACTGAAAAATGCAACATTTTAACTCTGTTTTTGGTAGATTGTTACGTGACTAACATAAGGCTACTGTGGAAGTGCCCATTTCGGTTACGACACTCGTTTTTAACGACACTATTTTTAGGTCCCTTTGATGATGTTATAACCAAGTTCTACTGTATTTAGTAAAGAGCATATATATATATATATATGCATATAATAAATAAATATGCACTCTCAGTGACGCCTACCAGAAGTTTCTGTTATTGGGTCAGAGGAGCCTTTAGATTTTTTGATTGGATTTTGGGGAGCCACAGGACCAGAAAGTCTGAGAAGTACTGCTGTGTAGCGCAAAATGAACAGATGATGACTTGGTAACGAACTGGAGGGCATATTGGAGCAAGTAGTTGTGGCCTAATTTGCCTTGATAAAGACCGTGAGTGCTAGCAACTTGATTGTGACATTCACTGAGTTGCTGCTGATCAGGGTATAACACATTAATCACCCAGGGTCTTGTGTTGACAGTGATGTAGTGTTAAACTTCACACAAAGTCAAGCAAGAACTCGTGAAGTGTAGCCAGGAAGGGCTGCAATGTAGCTCTGCTGTTGTGTACAGTGTCACACACATATCAGTTCAGTGTTGTAACATATTAATTCAAGTATCATTCAAGCAGTTATGTCTTCGTATGTAATTCTGTGGCACAAAGTATGAAATTAAATGAAAGCATGTTATGCTTCAATAATGTAAACATGTCTAATAATATTTTTGAACATTGCCTGAATCTGAAATTTCTGGTGAACCTTTATAAAATGGTCACCGAAAATTACAAACTATTGTAAGAAGTTCATGGTGAGTCTGCAATGTTGAAAGGATGAGACTTCGAGTGGCACAACAGATTTTCTGAAAGAAGAGAAGAGATTGTCATGTGATGGAGTGACTATTAGTGACCAGATTTATTGCATACTTTGATATAGTACATGACTACATTTTACAGTTCACTATTACAGACACACTAGTATCCACACTCATGTCTTTACTGCTGTTGCTGGGTAGCAGCTTCCAATAGCAGACGTTCCCCTTCCTCTTGATTCCCAAACTCTCCCCAGCCTTAGTTACCAGCTTCTAACAGCAACAGCTAACAACAACTAACCCACAGCAATTCTCTAACTACAACTGCTTATAACATCTTGGCATGGACTGCATAGAAAACACCATTCCCTGTTGCGGTGCAATTGTTGCTTAGCAATGGCATGTATTCCATTCTTACATGCACAGCCATCAGCACAAACTGCGCAGAAAACGCCATTTCTCTGTTGTTTACGGGTCTGCTGCCTAGTGATGGCTGGCTGTTGTAACTCCACAGTTCTTGCTTTGAGTGAATGTGCCACAATATCTATGATGGTCCTCACTCAGGCTATCCAGAAACAAGAGACACTGATTAAAATGTTGAAAGAATGAGAATGTAGCTTGTGCCAATTGAAGAATGACCATTAGAATGACAGCAGAAGACTTGGAGATGGACAAGGAAGGTGTTCATCAAGTTTGTGGGTGTTATTACACCAAGACAGTTTGTCTACAGTATCAGCGAGGCAATTCCTGGTATAGGAACAGATCCATCTGTTGGAACATCCTTCCTATTCTCCTTATTTATCTCCATGCATTTTGGATCATTCTGGGAGAATCAACAGCATGTCATATATGCAGAAAGCAATATCAGAAGGTACATTTCAGAAATGCTTCCAGATGCAGCAAAAAAGTGTAGCTTCATGTGTGACCACTGAAAGGAACTACTGTGAAGGAGGATAGCAGTTAACTGGTAAGTTTGTTTCCCACTTAATGTGAAAAGGAAAAGGAATGTATTTATTTCTTCTCATTTTTCTGATAGATAAAGTTATTATTTATTGACTTTGAAAGTTTGTTCTGTTCTCATGAAGTTACTCACTTATTGTCTGTTGTGAGTCGTGTTTTTCTGAGTACACAACTACACTATAATATTGTGACATGTTGCGCAAAGGAGAACTCCCCTCACCAGCAGTGACGCGGCGGGTGAGTCAGCACTCCCCTCCTCCTCCTCCACACGGTAACGTAACGGTGACGCAACAGGATTGTTACGGTAGTAACAGCGGTTACTACCGCTAGCGTTACTAGCAACACAGCGCCAGGCAACAAGGGTGCCGTTTTCCGTATTGTCCGATCAAGGCTACATAAGGAGCAGCGAAGGCTATTCACTGTCAGTTGTACTGAGTCAGTCAGTTAGTCCTGGAGCTACCGCCGAGTGAGTCCTCGAGCTACCTCCGAGTTAGTTCCGAGTTAGCCAGCAACTAGTCAGTTGTATTGTGGCATTTTTCAGTGTACTAATTGTGATACTGCAGATAGCAGTAATCGTAAATCTGTAATTTGGGTGATTGTGAGAGCGGATGTGAAATAAAATTCGCTACATCAAATACATCGTGAATTTATTCGTCGTGATATACGCCCGATATGCGACAACTGGTGTCAGAAGTGGGCCTGACGCCTGCTGGTCTAGTGTTCGGACGAGAACTACGGCTACCCTGTGACCTGCTGTTTGGAGTACCCCCAGACAAAAAACAACCCACAACCGACTATGCAGCGGACTTGGTGGATCATCGGCACGACATCCACAATTATGCCCGGCAACACCTGAAGCTTGCCAGTGACCGGATGAAAACTCGGTACGATAAACTGGCCAACTCCGCAGGTTACGACGAAGGCGACAGAGTCTGGCTCTATCGCCCAACCCGCAGAAAAGGGAAATCGCCGAAACTACAAGCATCATGGGAAGGTCCTTACAAAGTAGTGACCC